AGATTCAAATGATCAAATAAATTAATAGCTTCATTTTACTACAGAAATCCTTAAATTGATTACTATCCAATTTAAGGATGCATGCAAAAAAATGCAGGAAAGCTATTGTTTACCTGTCCGAAATTAGACGGAATTATTTTTCTTAATTAAAATTTTTAATTTTAAGTTAGTAACTTACTTAAATATACAAATTAAGCAATTCTAATGTGGAATTAAAATTTTCCATTTTTTTTACCTCAGGACCGAGTACATCTTTAACACATCTACTTGTATTTTGCTGCGCGTGGTTATTCGTACAGTACCCGTAGCTAGATGAATTATTTAGAGACAAATAATACAGCCTAGTAAAATCATACAAACATCATGAATTTGCAGGAAATGCCTATTTTCGGGAAAACGCGAAAGTTCGGGAATCGTGCCGATTTCCGGGAGATTTCCGCGAATTGCGGGAGACTTGGGACCTCTGCTAATTATATTTTGAAGGCATTTTTTCTTAAGATTTTATCACAGGGTACTGTATATCTAATTAATAATATTATGTTATATGTGTGTGTCACAAGATGTCATCATGCCTATATATGGATGTGATATGACATCATCATCATGCCCATATATAGGCATATCACAGATATCTATCTCATAATACTTGATAGTATGCATTTACATTGGTTATAAGAATCAATGTCAAGTATTTCACAGTTACTTTAGGCCTAGTACAGTACAGTATATAGATTATGACCAACTGTCAGGTACATCTTCAAATGTTAACTTTCAGTGGATGTAATTATTTGCGCTCTATAATCGAAGCTGACCAAACTTGCTATATATTACGTTTTTGATTGTCATGAACTATTAAAGTGTTAATATTTTCAGAATGTGATATTGTGATATTTTTTTTTTGGCTGGTTGACAACTTCATTTCTCTATCTCCACTGCCTCCTCATACAAGGACCTCCCGCACTAAGCCTTCACACGAAAATCCTCACCACATCCATACCTCTCGTTCATCCAAACACATCCTCTGACTACATCTTCTATTGATACTTTTACACTCTTCACCTCTTTCTGTCACGGCCAGGCTGTAGGACTATCGTACCGCTAGACGAGTTTTTTAACAACTGAGATATGATAATGATAAGGAACTTTTTCCAGGATGTTCCTCCGGTTCTGAGACTGGCAAACATATTTTTGGTTTTAAACCAAAATTATGTGTATTAATAATAATAATAAATTGGAGAATTTGTATAGTTTATTCTTTTGGACAATTTTGCAAACCAGACCCTGTGGGCAGCTCAGAACATACTTCCACACGTAGCATGCAATACAACCTGTCTCTTATACACATCTAGATGTGTATAAGAGACAGGTACTGTACTAGAAGAGCAGTCTCTTATACACATCTAGATGTGTATAAGAGACCGAATGGAAGCTTTGTGAACATTAAAATAAATATAAACAAATAGGTGAATAATAGAAACGTGCTCGAATATGAACAAATGATTCGCTTAATTTGATAAATTATTTTGATATGCCTAAATCTGATTTGATATAATGCCTAGGCTTAATAGGCCTAAATATAAAGATAACTATAACGTATCTGGAATACTAATGTTGTATCAGCATACAGTAGGGTCTGAAATCAGTTGCTTCCAGTCGGATTCGAGCTTCCAATGCATGGGCGCAGTTGAGGGTGGGGGGAGACATTTTTATGGGGATTGTTTCCCCCATTTTCGGGGGGAAATGAGATTTAATATGTCAAAAAGATGCCTGAAAATTGTTGAAATGAACTTCATAAATGACCCAGGTTTTAACGAAAGAGCCCTGCTATAGGCTAGGCTACAGCCAGAATACATTTTCTTAGCAAGATACCAGTATCGCTGCTCACAAATATAATAATAATATAATATAATATAATATCTGTCTCTTATACACATCTAAGATCTTATGATTGCCGAAAATCCCTAATAACAGATCATGAGAAATTAGTTGGCACTTCATTTTGACTATAATGGTGATGTGATGATGATGAATTTTACTATAAGAGTGTCATTTCCGAGCCTGCTAGCGGTATTTATGATGGGACTGAGATGGGTGTGGACGTCTTTAAGTAGGTAAAGTAAGTAAATACATCCAAGACAATGTTTTATTTTCAATGGTACACCACACACAAACTACTTAGATCTCCTATGATTGCCGAAAATCGCTGATGGGATGGCTGTGTGTGTGTGTATGTGTTAAGAGGGTTCAGGACATTGTTATGTCTGAATTTGTATCCTGTATATGTTTTGAATTTTAAAAAAAGTAACTGAGGGAGTCAAAGACGAACATCAAGGCACAGGGCGGACAATATACAGTTTAAATTAAAACGGTGAATTGGCTCCTATTACTGGTGCTTATACAGGGCCGTCGGAACCACCCCGGTCGCACCGGCTTTGGCCGGACCAATTCTTCTCATATTATTAGGCCTATTACTTTAAAAAACACATATACTTTTACCTATAAATTATATTAATAATTATTGCACTTCAATATCATTCGAACGTTTCACCATATACGGGTTTTGTACTATTAGCCTATGCATTTCAAGCTCCTGTTAGGAATTAATTGAAAACTTTTTTTAAATCTTTGATTTTATCAAAATTTTCTCACCTTTGCCCCAACCATGCAGACCCCAACCATGCAGAGCATGGGTACGAAAGGGTATCTAGTCGCCCGCTAGGGGAAGTGGCTCTATAGGTTGCCAGATGCTATTTCCAGGCATCTGGGGTTGTTTTTAAGGGTTGGGGGCTTAGTGGAGTGGTTCATTATCTCCTCGGTGGTATGGGAGGTAGAGCTGTTGGCTCAGTATCCTTTTATAGTCATTTGTAAACATATTTACATTAAAATAGTATTGTAAGGGTCGGATCAAAGTAGAAAATGTAGTAGTAATCTGTAAACAATATATTAGATACAGTAAATATAACGCAGGTAAAATTAACCCCCCACAAGTCACCCCCAGTATTTCTAATTTATAAATTAATAATTTATATATCAAAAAGTGACTAAATTACATGGTAAAAACTACCCCTGCCGAACATCGTCCCAGTATTTATGAGTGAACTTTCTATTGTTTTCCTTAGTTTATAATGTAATGTATGTCTACTCAAATCAGTAAGAAGAAAATGCCATATAAGTGCATATCCTCTAAAAAGTTCTTTATATTTGAAGCCGGAAAACATCAGTGTCGGCGCCACCAGCGGAGGTGAGGGATAGATGATCTGGGGACAAAGGATCTTGGACTTCCCATCGAAAAATTTCGTAGCGAACACTACTTTTACAGTCTCAGTTTGAAATTTCCTGGCATGGTTGTCGAAAAATTTGGATCTTCATATCGGAAACTCTATGGCGCCGTCACTGTATTACGTCCGATTGGGGCTGTGGGAGGGCCATGGTGGTGAGGTTTCTGGTGGTCGGATCTACGCCATATTGTCGAAATCCATTTTGCCGAATCCCAGACTGCCTAGTCCACTTTGCCGAGATCCCATTTTGCTCAAACCCAGTTTGCCGAAAGTCAATCAAAAGCAGTGAAACATTCAAAACAGCATAACATTTCTTGATGAAGCACCCTTTTACCGTTCGTTTGTACGAACTGGTGGGGCCAGCGGAAAGTAAGGGCATAGACATAGATATCTATTTATTCATCTATAATTGGAAATCGTTCTGTTTTCATGTTTCATGTCGGCAGATTCTAGAATTGCGAAATTGAGAATTTAGAAGCCTTCCAATGCGAAGTGCGACGCGATCACTGTTTATTCGTATAATAAATAACAGCTTATTATTATTATTATTTTTGTCTTATTCTGTAAATCCAACTTGATTAACAATTTAGCTATCAGCAAAAAAAAATTAATTAAAAAGGCCTGTCAGATAAATTGTCTTACAGCATATTTATAATAAGGGTATAAAGTTTAATTAAGATAATAATGTAGGCCTATACCTAAAGGAAATAACTAAATTAATAATAACCTACAATTATACACCCGAATCAAGGGGCTGACTAGAGCCTCTGTCAGGGTCCCGGCATAAAAGAATATGTGTTGGCGTTGGGAGTTTTTCTATACCACAATATTAGAAATTGACAATTAAAATAACGTTATATGAATATGCAAATTATCATTTTTGGTCCCGGGCGATTTCGTCGAATAAAATGAGGATTTTATTGTTGAGAATGGTTTTTGAGGGGGAGTTTATTCGGGGGAGGTGTTTATTCGAGGCAGTCATTTATTTTTTTTTGTGTAAATGGATACGTATTGTCTCAAACACCCCTTTAATTCCACTGTTATTAAAAGGTAATTCTACTGGAGTAAAACATTAATAGAAAGTGTTGGGAATGATGTTTCCATTACATCTGTTTACCGTCAAGGGGGAGTTTATTCGAGGAAAAAATATACGCCACGGGATGTTTTCGAAAGAGACGTTTATTCAAAATGAGGCTCTAGAAGGGGCGTCTATTCGAAGCGGAACGTTTATTTTACACGGGAACAAATACGGCAATGTAAATATGGCTCCTCCCTGATTCACCCATCATGTTTCCAAAAGCACAGTATGCTGTACTTTTGTACGATGATGGTGACGGCAAATGATTCGGCAAATTGGGTTGTCATGATTTCGGTGAACTGGATTCGGCAAACTGGGTTTCGGCAAAGAGGCCATTAATTCAGCAATCATGGGTTTCGGCAAACTGGATTTTGACAAACTGGTAGGATACCGATTCAGAATCAGTGCTAGACCGATTTGAGGGTGGACGCTAATAAGGGGTGAGCGCTGAACTAATAATTTTTATGTTTAGCCTGGTAGGCACTACTGTTCTTGGCAGCAATTTTCCCTGGTTGGTTGTGCACCTGTCTCATAATATCCAAATTACGGTTAAGCAACCGTGCATGTGAACTACCGGAACTGTGTCGTAGAAACGTCGTCGCAAAAACATCTTCTAAAATATTGAATTTTGGAATGGTGTTTCTTCTAAGTAAGAAAATATACATATTATAAGTAGAGAGTGTACCATACTGTAGTTGTACAAGCCTGTATGCTTTCATGTTGTTAGATTTAATTGCGGTATCCATTGTTGTGTTGTTGTTCAGGCCTAAATTTCAGACTGGAGGTTGTGCTATAAAATTGTTTTGAGTCCTTTTCATACAATGGCATTAAACCACCGCAATATCTGAATGGAAATGTAAACAACTGTAAAAAACAAAGCTAAAGATTTGTTGTTTGTGTAATGGCATACAATAGTCGTAGGCACATGTTTTTGCAACCTACATTCAACAATGTACATCTTTAAAAGTAGGCTAAGTGAAATCATTTTAATTAATTTAATAAAATGTAATATTATTTATATACTAACTTAAAAACGATCCATGGGTCGTAAAATGAGTTTTCATTTAAATACAGTAAGCCTATTATAACAATCGTTAAATATATAAGTGTAATATTATTTATATAGTGACTTAAAAACGATCTATGGGTCATAAAAATTTATTTGATTTTAAATTTAAAAAAAAAATAAATTTAAAATAAAATCTTGGTGTATTTATAGACTTTAATATATTTCCTGCATTGTATTCGTTTTTCGATGTATTTATCAGCATTGTTGTTTTTTTCTAAATATTCTATACCGAATATATTAGTTTGTGTGCATATGAGGTAGCTGCCATTGATTACATTTGATTATATTTATTGTTGTGTTACAGTATGGCGACACTCCTTTTTTTTTACGAATTGTTGCAAAGTGACCACGAATACCAAGTTCACCAGGACGGAACCCCAACCGTTTATATGCTGGAGCTAACCCGAGTCTATTGAACCAGGTAAATAATTTGCCTATGTAGCCTTGTTTTTTGATTTTCTTGTATTTTAGGCTTTACACCTGATAAAGGCCTATGGCCGAATGCGTTTGTGGATCTTCATTAAAAAAATTTCGCAAATGTATACCTTGTTCCTGAGTTTTATTTGATTATCTACAATTTGCCAAGCAGCTACCTCTTATTTTCATA